GTTCACACTCTCCACCTGTTCCCTTGCAAAGGGTATCAGTTCCATATTCTTTCTAATCTGAACTGCTTACATTGGTTTATATGTTCTAAGCTATTTTAGGAGATGGAAAGAGAGAAAAATGTTTGCTTAAATGAAAGAAGATCTAAAAGCTGTACTTTATCTACTTCAATTAAGTGAACAGTAGAGTATACCACTGTACATCTTCCTATCTACTAAAAACTTCCTGTGATTTTTTCCTACCAAACACATACATTTCTTACTTTTTCATGCAATAAGCCCCAAACACTCTCCTTGAAATTCTAGGTCATTCAGCACAAGGCAGGGGGCAGAATACATTCTACAGACATTTATACTATTGTGATAAGACCTGCTTATAAATTGAGGGGGGCATCCAGAGCCTTGATTTTCTAGCAGACTGTCTTCATATTAACAAACCCTTTTATTTCATTCAAACCCCTCACAAAATAAGTGTAGTTTAGTAACATTTTATATCAAAAAATACAGCAGGTGTATTTGAGTTCGAAGACTAGATAAGCATTAACAAAAACAACAAAAACAGATAGAAGACATTTCTGCTTATAATCTATGTACTTAGAATAAATGTTAACAAAATATATATTAAAAATGTCAAGATAAGATAGGAACATCACTGGTTATCTAGGTGTGTTGTCTAAAGACAGACAACGGAACTCACTTTATACTACACCAATAGATAATCTCTTTGAAGCAGCTTTTGTAATAACTGTACCCGCAACAATGTTGCATGTTACTTGCTTTCCTCCTTACATATTTGCCAGAACCACTGGCAGCTAAAGATACTCAGCACTGCTGCTTACTGTACTTTTGTCCTTAGGAAAGGTGACATAATGGACACGTTCAAATACAAAGATTCCGGAAAGAGCAACTAAAGCCTGACCCTGTTCTCTTTTAACAGCAAAGGCCAATTCATGTCATATAAACCAGTGTTTTATCTTGGATTGGATTTGGAAGCGCTATAATTGATATAAGTGAGAGCTGGTTTTTTTGAGCTAGTCAAGAACGAGAAAGAAAAAAAAATTAATTTAAAAATTCCAACTGAAGTTTTAGGAATTTCAACCAATTTTATACCTGATCAAAAGCTGGTAAAAAAGGATTTTATGAATATTTTCCCCTCTACTCTTATAACTAGGGATCCTGGTTTTCCTTGATTAAAAAAATTGCAAATTCTCTGATAAAAGACCCGCAAATTCTCCAATAACATCCCCCCACCCCCAAATCCATGATTAAAACTAAAGGCCCCCCCCACACACACCCCCCAGCCCTGCTGGTGCCCCTCACTCCCCACCCACAGCACCCTGGCCCTGCTCATGCCTCTCTCTCCCTGGCCCCCACCCACACCCCCCTGCCCCTGGTCCCCCCTGCTGCGGGCTCTGGTCGGGGAGGTGGCTCCCTGCCCTCGTGCACACTCCTGGGAGGCAGGAGGGACCCATGTCACCCAGATGTGTGTGTGGGGCAGGCGCAGGGTGGGGGGTCAGGG